CCAACTCAGCCGCCCAGGCACACCGTCCTTTTCTTCTTTTAAAGATTGATTTAGAGAGAGCGCACACATGGTGGGTAGGGGGCTGGGGGGGAGGGGCAGGGGAGAGGGAGAGAAAATCTCAAGCAGATTCCCCTCTGAGCATGGAGCCCACTGTGGGGCTTGATCTCACAACCCTGAGATCATGACCTGAGCTGAAATCGAGTCGGTCACTCAACCAACTGAGCCACCCAGGCACCACCAATAATCAGTTTATTAGTGTTTGGTGGATTATTAGTTCCTCTACAAAAACAAAATAACTTCATTCCTTCTTTGAAGCAGTGGGCTCAGATGTAGCATAACGATGTTCAGACTCATTCATGGACTATTAAGGATGTGTACAAAAAACTAGGAGACAAATTTAAGGGTCTTATTTTGGGATGAGAACCTTCAGAGTGATGAATAAAACTTTAAACTAAAATTTTAGTCTGTGGTCTTTAGTTACCAAAACCTATCATTCATTTTTTCATAGAACTATAAACTATAAAACTATTTCAAAAAACTATGAAGCTAATTATAGTGCTAAATCTTTCTGTGAGTACAATTTTTTTTTTTTTTCCGGGAAAGGAAAACAACTTTCTTTGCTGGCTTCCTCTTTGTGATGCATTTTCCCAACTTGGCCTCAAAAGAACTGTGTGAAATGGATGCTAGCAGTGGTATATTAGCATTTCTATTCAAAAGGAGTAATGCAGATGACCACAACCCTAACTACATATTTGTTATTTTTAAAAGAGCCAGCACAGGGGCGCCTGGGTGGCTCAGATGGTTAGGTGTCCAACTCTTGATTTCATCTTCAGTCATGATCTCAGGGTTGTGAGATCGAGCCCTCCATTGGGCTCTATGGTCAGCAAGGAGTTTGCTTGAGACTCTCTCTCTCCCTCTTCCCCTCCCCCAGCTTATGTGTACTCTCTTTCTCTAAAAAATAAATAAATAAATCTTAAAAAAAAAAAAGAGCCAGTACATTTCTGCTTCAAATTCTGGAATAAAATTGGTTTGCATTAATTAAAATAGTATATTTAGCTTTTGATTTGGAGAGTCTACTTTGGATTGCTGCAGAAAATAGTATTTATAAATTGTATTCTAGATTGTAATCTGGAATTCTAAGCAAAACTCTCCTGTATAGTGTAGAAGACTACTCAGAGCCTAATGTCCTTTTTAAAATGTGAAAAAAAAAAGGGGGGGGGCAGTCTGTATTTAGAAATCGTGCCAAAATAAATTCAAATAACAACAAAAAAACCCCACAGGAATTTGTTAATTTGGCAGAACTGTGTTGAGCTCATGTCTGGGTTGTGATTTTTTTTTTTTTTAAGATTTTATTTATTTATTTGACAGAGAGACACAGCCAGAGAGGGAACACAGCAAGGGGAGTGGGAAAGGGAGAAGCAGGCTTCCTGCGGAGCAGGGAGCCCGATGCAGGACTCGATCCCAGGACCCTGGGGTCATGACCTGAGCCAAAGGCAGATGCTTAACGACTGAGCCACCCAGGCTCCCCTGGGTTGTGAATTTTTTTAATCCATAGTTTTGCTTTAGGGTCCTCAAATTTATTCACTTTTTCTCTCTGAATCTGTTTTAAGACACTTAAATATAATTATGGCACTGGAGTAAAGTTTTTAGTGCAAGACAATGTTACTATTAAGACTGTGACGAATCAGTTCTTAGTGACCCAAAAACTATGACTTTTAAAAAACAAATGGTGAGACATCATAATTGGCAAGGAAGCTCAAAGTTTAATCACATCCAGCATGTATTCTATTAGCTATCCCAAGTGAACCAAAATGTATCAAGCAGCTCTATAGTGATTGTGTATGTAAATTTAAGCATAAATATTCATGGAGCGACTGGCTGGCTCAGTCTGTAGAGCATGTGACTCTTGATCTCAGGGTTGTAAGTTTGTGCCCTATGTTGTACGTAGAGGTTGCTTAAAAATAAAATCTTTTTTAAAAAAATTATAAGTATTCTGAAATTAATTAACCTTGTTTTTTTGACTTTTAATTCAGAGGAAAAACTTGTAAAATTCATGCCCTGGAGCATTGCTATTTAATGTAGTCTTAGAACTCAGATTGTTTCCTTTGAACTAAGAGGTGTTACAATTTCTATAATTCAAACGGAAATTTTAGAAAACTTTGACTTGGAAATTTTTTAAATTTATTATTTATTTGTATATTTGACAGGGATAGAGATAGCAAGAACAGGAACACAAGCAGGGGGAGGGAGAGAGGGAGAAGCAGGCTTCCTGCTAAGCAGGGAGCCTGATGTGGGGCTTGATCCCAGGACCCTAGGATCATGACCTGAGCCAAGGGCAGACATTTAACGACTGAGCCACCCAGGCACCCCGGAAATTTTTTTTTAAAGATTATTTATTAGAGAAAAAGAGCAAGAGGAGGAGCAGAGGAAGGGAGAGGGAGAGAGGGACTCTCAAGTAGACTCCTGCTAAGTGCAGAGCCCGATGCAGGACTTGATCTCACGACCCTGACATCATAACCTGAGCTGAAACCAAGAGTCAGACGCTCAACTGGTGCCCCTGACTTGGGAGTATTTTTGTAATCCTACCTCTGGCATAGGTAGGTGAAATGCTCTAGGATAGGTGATCTTTAGTTTCAAACGGTAGTGTAGTTTTATGGAATTAAATTTTGCAAATTTTGTTTCATCTGTACCCTGAATTTAGAATGATCTCCACCCAGATGAGAATGGATGCCTCAGGACTTCTTTACCAATTCATCTTACACAGATTCCGTCTCTTACAAAAGTAAAGCTACCTCACTCATCCCAGTTCTTACTCTGGTGCACTGCCCCAGGGTATAAAAATCTTTGGGGAGCAATCCAAACAAAGAGAAAACACCAGGCTGCATAGCACCAGAGAGAGAAATACTGAAAGAAGCAGGACCCTATTTCACCCAGACACAAACTTCTACCTTCTCTGTCTTCTATCAATCTTAGAACTTGAAAGAGAGTAGGTTGTAATAGGAATGTTTATAAATTAACTGTTTTGAATTCAAATGAGGTCAGATCTTTTCTGATGATAAGGACTGGCCAGTTAGGTTATAGAGTGGCCATTTTCTTTCTTTCTTTCTTTTTTTAAGATTTTATTTATTTCACAGAGAGACACAGCAAGAGAGGGAGCACAGGGGGAGTGGGAGAGGGAGAAGCAGGCCTCCCGCCGAGCAGGGAGCCCAATGCGGGGCTCGATCCCAGGACCCTGGGACCATGACCTGAGCCGAAGGCAGACGCTTAACGACTGAGCCACCCAGGCGCCCCAGAGTGGCCATTTTCCATAAACAGAATGAATTAAGTGCCAAGGTTTTGACAATGATATATTTAAAGCATATATAACACAATGTACAATATGCCAGGAACTACAAACTTGCAACTATTAAACTTACACATTTTAGTAGTCAAGGTATAAAGGGTACATAGTTTCCAAAGTTCTCTTTGGGACAAAACAATTGAAGACCGCAGACTTGGGAGTCACTTGAACATACACTGGTTCCCTTCAAAGTAGATTTAGGATGTTAGGTTAAGAGACCACAGAATGATGTAAATTAGGACTTTAGATCATTGAGTATCTTGCTTGATTTTTTTTTCACCTCACATCAAATGTGAATCTTATAAAAGACTGTAGTTGTGAAAGAAAATTGATTTGGTAGCTGTCTAAAAAGACCCCCAGCAAAGGATATTATGGGATGCAATACTAAGCAAAAACTTAAATGATATCTGTGTTAACAAAATTATAGGCAGAGGTAAGAATAAATCCAGAAACCCTAAAGAGCAAGCAGGCTTGACATCCTTAAAGATAGTAAGAAAGCCAGTGTAGCTGGAGTGATATGAGCCACGGGGGACGAAGGTAGGAAATAAAGTAAGGAAAATGATATAGGGCCTTTGTAGCATTTAAAAACTGGCTTTCCATTCTTTCCATTCTGTGACGATCCCAGGCTTCAGAAGCAGGTGTGTGAATTAGATCCAGGCAGTGAAGTCTTCCACAGTGACTAGCCCTGATTGAAACAAGCACTTACTAATTATGTTGCTAGAGTGAACATTCTGGGAATTTTGTTGCCTGGAAAGAAGCTAGGATTGTAAAAAAAAAAAAAAAAAAGCAGCAGCAGCAGCTAGGATTGTTGTGGAGTGTGTAGGCTTGGAGTTACTGGCACTCATCTTGCTTCAGTGAGTTGTGGGCCTAAGAGTGGAAACAATGCAGAAGAAAGTAGAACTACAAAGAGGAAAATATTGCTGACCACATCATTTGGTCCTTGGAGCAGGCTGTGCCAAAGTCTGAACCCCCACATTAGATTTCTTGGTTACATGAACCTTAAGCATTTTATTTTTGTTCAAGTCAGAGTGGATTATGTATTTGGTCACTTGCCAACCTAATTAATATAAAGTAAGCAGAAGAAATGGAGTCATTGAATCAAACTGAAAAGGAGTAAATGGCCTGTGAGAAAGGAAGAAAATCGAGAGAGAAGTCAAAAAGAGCATTTAAGACTGCATTTTCAATGATTTGAACAATGGATGATGAATTAATGTTAAAGCAAGGACACATGAAGTTTGTCAAACAAGGCTGGTGAAAGTATCCAGCACAATAATTATCTGTCATCTGCCATCAAATTACAAATTCCTTGGGAGCAGGAACCATATTTTAATTAAATTGCCTTTAGTAAATTAAATGGAGTCACTCCAATGTTTGAATTGCATTTACTCTATGCTGTGCCTTGGATATGTGGGCTAGTAGTTGGGAGATAAGCCTGGGGCCAGGAGCAAAGGAAAGATAACCATAGCCCCCACATTAAGCCAGGGATCCTGGCAGAGGCTAAAGTCATCCAGGTCCTTAATGTTCCCTAGCTTCTAGGAGATGCATATTTCTTTCTGGAAGAAAGTGCCCTCAATTTGGGCCCTCAGGTTTCTCAGAGATTAAGGTCTACCACCTAAGCTCATAAACATTACCAAAAGAACAACATGGGAAAAATAATTTTTAAATATGGGAATGCTTCATGAATTTGTGTGCTATCCTTGTGCAGGGACAATGCTAATCTTCTCTATATCTTCCAAATTTAGTATATGTGCTGCTGAAGCGAGCACCAAATGGAAAAATTGAGAAACACATCATCATTGGGAGATTTCAACATACTTCTCTTCACTTATTGATACATGAAGCAGGAAATAGAAAACTGGTAAAGATTTAGAAGACTTGAATAAAAAGTTTGATCCAACAAATAAGCAATTCAAACCCAACAGCTAAAAAATGTACATTCAAACATACATGGAATATTTTCAGATATTAATGTACCAGCCCATAAATGCCAGTCTCATAAAATACCAAAGAATCAAATTGCACCAACCAGGTCATCTTACCACAATGTTGTTAATCGTAAGTCAATAAAACAAAACAAAATATTTCCTTTGAAGATTTAAAGAACTCTAAATAACTGATCTGTGTCAAAGAAGAAATCACAATGGGAATTTTTAAAACAATAGTGGAAAAAACAATAGCGAAATGGAACAAACAATAGTGAAAATACTTAAAAATAGATAGTTGGGGCACCTGGGTGGCATAGTTGGTTAAGTGTCCAACTCTTGGTTTTGGCTCATGATCTTAGGGTTGTGAGATCAAGCCCCACATTGGGCTCTCTGCACCCCCCCCAACCCCATGCTCTCTCTCTCTCTAAAATAAATAAATCTTTAAAAAATAGATAGTAGGGGTGCCTGGGTGGCTCAGTCAGTTAAGTGGCTGCCTTTGGCTGCCATGATCTCAGGGTCCTGGGATCGAACCCTGCATCAGGCTCCCTGCTCAGGGGGAGTCTGCTTCTCCCTCTCCCTCTGCCTCTCCCCCCAGCTTGTGCACTCTCTCTCTCAAATAAATAAAATCTTAAAAAAAATAGTATACAGTAAAGTAATACACAGAGGGAAATATGTAGTCTTAAATGCTTATATGGGAAAGGAGGGCTAATTGGCCAACTATACACCTTATGTTTGAAATAGAACAGATTAAATTACAAAACTGTAAGCAGAAATCAATGAAAAAGGGGGTGGGAGAACAATAAAAAGTCAATAAAACTGAGAATGATCTTTCTTTTTTTTTAAGTAAACTCTATGCCCAACTTGGGGTTTGAACTCACAACCCCAAAATAAAGACTCGCATACTAAACTGAGAATGTTCTTTGAAGAAAACTGGTAAAATAGATAAACTCCTAAGATTAATGGGGGGAAAGAAGATCCATATATTAATGATAAAGGGAATATAACTACAAACCCATAAAAAGATTAAAATAAAAAAATTCTGTACCTGTAAATTTGAAAACCTTGAGAAAATGGAAGAAGTTATAGAAAAATATGAAGACAAATTCAAAATGCCATAGTAGGGGGGCGCCTGGGTGGCTCAGTCATTGGGTGTCTGCCTTCGGCTCAGGTCATGATCCCGAGGTCCTGGGATTGAGCCCTGCGTCGGGCTCCCCACTCAGCGGGGAGTCTGCTTCTCCCTCGCCCTCTGCCCCTCCCCCCATTTGTGCTTTCTCTCTCACTCGCTCTCTCTCAAATAAATAAATAAAATCTTTAAAAAAACAAAAAAACACAAATGCCATAGTAGGAATGAAGAGAGACCAAAATTGTTAAGGAAATTGAAGTAGATGATTTGAAATCTCCCCCCCCCCAAAAAAAACCACCAATGTCTAGGTGTTTTTAGAAGTAAATTCTACCAGTCTTTCAAGAACAGATCATTCCAATCTTGTATAATCTCTTCCTGAGATGAGGGAAAAGAACATCTCTAAACTCACTTTGTGACTGTAACATAATATTGATACTGAAATCAGAAAAGGTCAGTATGATAAGGGAAAATTATGTTTTCAAATCACTTATAGACACAGTTCAAAAAAATCCAAACTAAACATTAGCAAATTTAATTTAGAAATGTATTACAAAGGGGGGTGGGAGGGATGGGGTGGCTGGGTGATAGACATTGAGGAGGGTATGTGCTATGGTGAGCACTGTGAATTGTGCGAGACTGTTGAATCACAGATCTGTACCTCTGAAACAAATAATACATTATATGTTAAAAGAAGAAGAAGAAGAAGAAGATAGCAGGAGGGGAAGAATGAAGGGGGGGAATCAGAGGGGGAGATGAGCCATGAGAGGCAATAGACTCTGAAAAACAAACTGAGGGTTCTAGAGGGGGGGGGGGGTGGGAGGATGGGTTAGCCTGGTGATGGGTATTAAAGAGGGCATGTTCTGCATGGAGCACTGGGTGTTATACGCAAACAATGAATCATGGAACACTACATCAAAAACTAATGATGTATGGTGATTAACATAACATAATAAAGAAATGTATTAAAAAGATAATATATTGTGATCAAGTTGGGAATATCCTAGGAATGCAAGGTGGTTTAACATATAAAAATATATTAATGTTATTAACTACTTTTACAGATGAAAGAAGAAATATCATGTGAAGGCATTTTTTTTTTAAACAATTCAGTGGTTACTGAATTTAAAATAAATTCTTAATCAGGTAGGAATAAAACTTCCTATATCTGATAGTGTATCTACCAAACTCTGGAGTAAATACTTTTGTTGATGATGAAACATTGTATACATTACCTTTAAAATCACAAAATAAGGGCTGAATTGTGTCACCTCAAAATTCATATGTTGAAATCCTAACCCCCAGTACCTCAGAATATGACTATATTTGGAGATAGAGCCTTTAAAGACTTAATTATGGTAAAATGATGTTATATGGGTAGGCCCTAATCCAATGTGACTAGTATCCTTATGAAAAGAGGAGAGAGGGGTGTCTGGGTGGCTCAGTCCTTTAAGC